CCCCAAAACCCCAAAACCCCAAAACCCCAAACTATTTGAATAAACTCAGTATAATTGGGGAATCCTTTGTAAATCCTTCTATAATCCTGGTTTCAAACTTTGAAAGTGTGACAAAGAAAACAAATCTTAACAGAGAAGAACATAAAAATAGAGATAAAGCCTGAATGGATTAGTGAAAGTATTTAATATTTTCATTCATGTGAAATGTAACATACTCAGAATTTTGACTTTGCAAGAAGTCGAGAAGGATAGATTATAGTAGTGACATGTATTATGTCTTAATATTTTCTTGTGAAGTGTCTAGCTTAGATTCTTGCAACTCAGTTTCTTATTGTTTTTCTTGGTTCGTACAACTCAGAATAATAGTAGATTAATGAGTAAGCAATCAGAAGGACTTCAATAGAAGTAGCCACACTACGGAAGACTATTATTCTCTCTGTCTTGAAACTATCATAGACTGGACTCAAAGTTTGTCATAGAGCTAATGAAAAGTCGAATACACCCGAGGAAAGATCTGCAGCGTAATTTTTTTGTGTAGGATATCTCTCTTCAGCATCATGAATCATCACAGGTAATGAAAGGACACAGATAAAAAATTGACAATTTCACAAAAGAATTGGCCTATTCCCATCAGCATCAAATTGTCAGGCAAAAACTTACTTGGGCCAATCAAGAATTGTGCTAATCCTCAGATAAAAATTGTTGCAAAATAAGAGTCTTCGAATAGTATCTATCAGTGAAGAATGAGAGGAACCAGCTTGAAGTTAAGTAGCCTGTTGGGTATATACAGAAAAACAGGAAGATTTCAGCAGTAGAAATATTAAAATATTGTAATCTTGTAGGAAGCACTGGCTCAAAATAACAGTACGAATAATAAGATGGTCCTGCACAAACAGCAGATAATGTAAATACTTTCATTTTAAATAACTCTGAATAGGTTGCTTTGACGATTGACGAAGACTTGTCAACTTGGTTAACTCCTTCATCTATCATACTTTGCTCTAAGTTATCATTTTCATTAATATCGTTTGGAATTTGAATGTACATTAGGAGGCACGTCAAAATCATAGAACTCCCAAGAATATAAAACGTCCAATGAAATCCGAAGAGTGAGTAAAGAATGGCTCCGATAGCTGGACCTATCGCCCATCCGAATCCTTGAGACCCTTCGTAGTATCCCATGTACTGCTGCTTCTTTTCTTTGTAAATCACAGAGATAATTGAGTATCAAGTCGTCTGGATCATACTTGAAGTAAACCCTTGTACGAATCTTGACACAAGGCAAAAGAATACAACTAATGATGGAACCTCAAGATAACTTATTGTTGAGAAAAGTGCCATTCAAAGCCCATGATGAATATTCCAAGTAGCAATATGATCTTTCTACCAAACACAATCATTATTTTGCCGACCAACAAAGAACCAATCATTGAGGCAGCCGAAAACATTGCAAATATGAATCCAAAAGTGGATAGTCTGATGCCATATCTGCCAAACTCAAGCTGCAAGAATAGAAATACAACCATGTATCAGATATTGGATAGAATCGACACTATCAGCATGCTTGCGAATCCTTTGAAGTCTATGTTGGTGGCTTGACTCGAATCAAAATTAATTAATCTAAATTGTTCGGCAATCTTGTGATATCATTAGGGGTTTTGGGGTTTTGGGGTTTTGGGG